CCCATGCAACTTTAGAATGACAACTAGCGAAGGCAGTGTCATTCGTGACTTGTTCATGATCGGCATGAGGTCGATTGGGTGGACGAATGTGAAGCTTTGGACAGCAGATGTTGTATCAGAGAATTTACTCCGTTTTCATACACTCGTATACTACAAGCAGAGTAGGAAATCAGCAGAGTAAACTACCGTGCAACCTGTGAGTAATTGCTCTTGCCGCCGTGATAATGAGATGCGTTCAGAACTATATACAACCACAGTCCCTAACCACAGTCCCTCTAGAGGGACTGTGATACAACGTAAGTCATTGTTCTATGTGTAAATATTTGAACTTGCTGGTGTGATAATCCGTTCTATTCATAACTAAACGCAGTGTTAGTCATTGTTCTACATGTGATCTTTCCATTACTAGTACTTCGTTTGTCGGGAGAGTGACGCCTTATAAGACTTTCATTGTTCCCTGCGACAAAGCACCACGCTAGCATGTTTATACTGGTAAGAGTGTGTGGCGTCAGCAACCGGTCTTCCTTTGTCAGTTACCGCTAGTGGTGTCACATTTACTTACGATAAGCATTTGTCATATTCTATTTACAGATATCACAAAAGATCACGAGTTTGGGGCCAAGCTTATTTAATGAAATGAATCTGTTTTTTTAAAGGCGACGGCCTTAGGGATAATGTTAATCCTCCGTTCACAACGTACACAAAAATGCACACATCTGTCTTTGTCAGTAACCGACGGTGGTGTCACATTAACACTTTTGCACATTAAGATTTCTCAACCATTTCTCGAAGGCCAATGACATCCAAAATACATCTCATTCAATACGCTAACCAATCACATGCTGCTAAGACAGTATAAAATATCACCATTTTAGAAAGAGTTTAACCACTTCGATTGATCTTCATCAAGTGAACATTACTGGCAAACTCTCTACAGCTACAATTATATTATCAAGACGATTATTTTATGCAGCTTATTTTATCTAACTTTATATATCTTATTTTATTCATTCACATTTTACATATATCACTAATACATTCTTATTGATTTGTTGACACTGAACAGTACTGTAC